TCTAGAAAGGGTATTGAGCTTGGTTAAAGTTTTCGTACCACACCTAAAGTTCAGGTGAACAACTTTAATCAAGAATTTCAGAAAGGGCCACAACACCATCAAAATTCATACTAAAGTCATTGGCCTTGGATAGTGATCTCCTTATATTGTTTCAAATAAATTTGTGAAATAACAAACAAATATCATTGGTGGTTGTCTGATGAGATACGGTATGCTGCTACATGCAAAATGTTAACAAAAGTCACAGTTGTGCTGACAGTCCCACACCTGGGTGCATGTGTAGGATAGACTGCTAAAAATGCAACATCAAAACTGATAAAAGTATTCATACAGTGTTTTGGGGTTTTTTTGCTTTACATCTGTAATATATAATGATATTATTTTAATATTATGCATATTTTGCCAATGTTGACATAGGATTATCCCTGTTACACATTATACAATTTCACAAGACTTTTTAATCAATCTGCATGAAAGACTTTATAAAAAGCAAGCATAATTTTGACTTTAATCTTGAAATGGCTTTAAATTTTCAAATTTGTTACAATATTCCAAAAAAAATTCACCAAAAATAATAAATCTTCCTTTAAAGATGCCAATGGTCAAGTAAATGTTGTGAATTCAGGCTTTTTATTGGCCTTTAAGGCCTTTGATATGCATGGAAAATATAAACAACCTTTGAAAATGACATGATAAATATTTACACAAAAATAAAGAATGTATATAGCCATAATAGGTGCAAAAAAATAATAATTTTGGCAACCATACTCTGATAAAGCATTAATGGAATTCCATACAAATAAAAACAAATAAGTTACAGAAACAAAATATCACATTCCCATAGCGTTAACATATTAGCATTTTCTTATTGTTTCCAATTTTTTGCATTTAAATTTACCTAACAGACATGAAACAAGCATAAATACATTGTTTATTATCCTTGGGCTAACAGACATGAAACAAGCATATATACATTGTTTGTTATCCTTGGGCTAACAGACATGAAACAAGCATAATTATATACATTGTTATTATCATTGGGCTAACAGACATGTAACAAGCATATATACATTGTTTATTATCCTTGGGCTAACAGACATGAAACAAGCATATATACATTGTTTATTATCCTTGGGCTAACAGACATCAAACAAGCATATATACATTGTTTATTATCCTTGGGCTAACAGACATGAAACAAGCATATATACATTGTTTATTATCCTTGGGCTAACAGACATGAAACAAGCATATATACATTGTTTATTATCCTTGGGCTAACAGACATGAAACAAGCATATATACATTGTTTATTATCCTTGGGCTAACAGACATGAAAAAAGCATATATACATTGTTTATTATCCTTGGGCTAACAGACATGAAACAAGCATATATACATTGTTTATTATCCTTGGGCTAACAGACATGAAACAAGCATATAGACATTGTTTATTATCCTTGGGCTAACAGACATGAAACAAGCATAATTATATACATTGTTATTATCATTGGGCTAACAGACATGAAACAAGCATATATACATTGTTTATTATCCTTGGGCTTACAGACATGAAACAAGCATAAATACATTATTTATTATCCTTGGGCTAACAGACATGAAACAAGCATAATTATATACATTGTTTATTATCCTTGGGCTAACAGACATGAAACAAGCATATATACATTGTTTATTATCCCTGGGCTAACAGACATGAAACAAGCATAAATACATTATTTATTATCCTTGGGCTAACAGACATGAAACAAGCATATAGACATTGTTTATTATCCTTGGGCTAACAGACATGAAACAAGCATATATACATTGTTTATCATCTTTGGCCAAACAGACATGAAACAAGCATATATACATTGTTTATCATCTTTGGCCAAACAGACATGAAACAAGCCAGGGCCATTTTACCCTTCTTTGCTGTAGCCGGTATTCGGCTACTTCCCCAAGCCAACTTACTACCTTTTTTCCCCAAAAAACAGTCTAAAATTCCCCTTCTTGTGAAGATTTTCCCTTTCAGAGAAATGTTTAATCGAAGAAAAAAACTTGTAAGCAAACTTTCTTGTTTAAAAATAGATCATTGTTTTTGTCCAATGAAAGCTAATTATTCAATCAATTACCCACTAGAGGGGTACCTCGATTTAATACAATTGAACATGGGAAAACCCCGCTGAAAGTTATTTTTTTAGTGCACATGTGATTTTTTTACGACAATACGGCGACCGATTTACAATGTCGCAAATGTAAACAATGTCACAAAACAAGAAGAAAATACGATTGAGTGACATTTGTAATTGTTTATGAAAAATTGGACAAATTGTTGACCTTCCTGTAAATGCAAGAGATTAGATGTATCCACTAGCAAGTTTGTGTGTCCTAGTAGCACAACATGCCCAAGTGTGGTAAACCCAAACCAAAATCGCAAGCTAACATTGCAAGCTTGTCACAAGCTTGCTGCAAGCTTAAGTTGCAAGCTTGCTACTGGCTAGTAATTGGAACCTTGCGGCAAGCTTGGGATCAGTTATTTAAAAAAAATCTGACTGCAAACTAGTTAATATTTAAGCTTGCGCAAGCTTAATCGCAAGCTTGCGCAAGCTTAATCGCAAGCTTGCGCAAGCTTAATCGCAAGCTTGCGCAAGCTTAATCGTAAGCTTGCGCAAGCTTATTTGCAAGCTTGCGCAAGTTTATCTGCAAGCCTGCACAGGCTAAGTCGCAAGCTTGTGCATGTATAACTACAAGCTTAATGTATAAGCTTGCGCAAGCTTAATGTATAAGCTTGCGCAAGCTTAATCGCAGGCTTGCAAAAACTGTAAACCCTATTTGGAAAGGGAGCTGCTACGTATAACAGTCTCTGAATCCTATATAACATGCAAAAAAAAAAAGGCATTAATTACCATGATAAACTTATTTAATCATAAATTGTAAAAAGAAGCTGATGTTAAATTTTTCATATACTAATGTTTTCTTCCAATTACCATGGTAAATAGTCCAGCCTTGATGGAATGACATTGAAAAAATCCAGCCTAATTCCAGCATCCCTGAATGTTCTTAAAATGTAAAATTCTGGGATGGAATTCAGCACAGGAATGTTTGGGGTAGAATTTTCATGAGTTTAACATGATCACATATTTCTATCACAAAATTTAATACATATCCTTTAGTCCAAATACAGAATAGAACAGCCTACATTCACTATAACACAGTTTTTTTCTAGCTGCAGGTTTTGGTAGGTTCTTGTTTTCTTAGAATCCAACACTTTGTTTTAAGCAATTATTTTGCTCTTAGTCTGTCAGTGACAAACTATTCAATCTTAAATTTGTTTTAAATGTTTCTGATTATTTAAATTACTATTTCTTTTATCGGTGTCCATTTTTAGTCCTCTGCCAGTGTTTCCTAGAACTTCTTATGGTTGTGCTGACCTTTAAAGATAAAATTCATAATTAATTAAATACAGATGCGGTAATGAACTATGTTTTATTGCATAAATGCAGTTATATTACATATCTTTTAATAACATCGAATCTAATGTTTCAACAGTATTAACTATTAAATATTAACTATGCTTATGCATTTTCAAAAAATACTAAAGCAATGCAGTATATCTTATTTCAATGTGCACAAATGTTTAAGAATTTCTCTGTATGAGAATTAAGTAAATTTGTGACAATATTTATTACCCAGTATGTATTTTTTCAAGAAAAGATGTTGAATAGAAAAGTATTGAGATTTAATAATATACCTTTTCAGGATTAATACTGCACATCATTATTAAACACTGCCGCTATTTCTCACAGTCAGCACTTATGTCCCAGCCTGCAAATAATTTATGTATAATGTAATTTTAGATTGTTCCATTGAAAACACAACACATACATGTAAAATAACAAATGATTATGATTGACCCTGTTCAGCTGTACAACTTAACTACTGATTGTACCATTTAGTCCTATTTAATCAAATTGATTTAATAAATTAATTTGCAGGAAATGAAAAAGATCTACTAACATGCCATTTAAACAATACAAACAATCATTAAAAACAAATCATTGAATAATTTATATTTTACAGATTATACATGTATAGATTAAAAAGAATTATCAGAAAAACAAATGCATGAAGTTGAAAATATAAAAACAACCTTGATCTCTTGTTACAAATGTTAATAATTTGATATATAACCTGTTTCTGCATTAATGTAACTTAAGGTTTATAAATACCTGATTCTGTTGTATATCTCCTTGTCCCAGGTGATTCTGATTGTTATCATACCAATACTTAAACACTTTAAATGTTAAACAAAACAATATCTCCAAAACTGCTAAAATATCAAGTACATCCTCTGCTCTCTTTGCTGACCCAGATATCTTAGAATTCAAATTTTACAACAGTTACTGTAAAACTGGACAGGTCTATCATTATGTAAAGCAGGGTTAATCTACTCATCATTTTAACTTTCATTCTTTGAGCGTAAAAGAAAATATCAAATAGCTAATAGATATATAGATTTTAAAAATCATTAAAAATTTTTGTACAAAAAGATTGCAATGTCCTTCTAGACACATTCTGCATATGAAATTTATAATGTTATCTCTCCCCAAAATAATCACATGGAACAGCCTGATCTGTCGGAATGACCAGGGAGTAAATTAGTCATGCACAGATGGTCAATGAATTTTATCAAGGCTCTGATGTGTGTAGCGTAAAATCTCAGTGGATGTAGTATTTATTTTCCTAAATAAAAGCAATATATATTGATTAATTTAATATAGAATATATGAGATTATTTCATGCACTGTTTTTGTTTTGTTTATTTATTTATTTATTGTTATCCAAAAACATGAATTCTTAGAATTTAAAAATGGCAAGCAATGCAATCCCATCTGATTATTATAGTGTCTGAATGATTGAATCACAGACTTTAATTAATTTATAGTTAAACTTAAAGCCTATAATTAAATGGATATTATTTCATTGTACATAACTTCATGTAGATTTATTGAAATAATAATATGTATTTAACAATCAATTCATTTACTTCTTTTGCACAGACATTTTTTCTGAGATACCCTTTTCCAACTACATGAAATGTATAAAGTGTCAAATTTCAAATCATTTACAGTAACTTGCATTAAAATAGATGATGATTTTATATTTTCTTCGTAAATTTACAATACTGAGCTGAATATATAAAATAACTAATAACTAATAATAAACTTTAGCGTGGTAATCTAGTTTAAACTAGTTAATTATCACTGATACTATCATTTTTGGAATTTTTTTTTTAATGTGTACACTTTTGACAAAAATTTTCTAAGTGTTTCAATTACTTTAACAAGAAATTTCTAAGTGTAGATTTGTACAAAAATTTTCTAAGTGTCTACTAATTGCAAGCTTGCGGCATTGCAAGCTTACATCAAATGTTTGCAAGCTTGCATGAATTTTAAACAAGCTTGCAATATATTTCAAAAGTCATCGCAAGCTTGCGCAAGCTTGTTGCAAGCATGCAGCAACCTTGTATTTAAGCTGTAAGCTTGCGGCAAGCTTGTGACAAGCTTGCGGCAAGCTTGTCGCAGGCATGCATTTTGGTTTGGGAATAGCGAGTCTAGCACAACAGTGCAAGTAACAGTGATACAGTGGGAACTGATAATAATGTTCGCTCTGAATCAAATCAAGAACCCTCACATGTCCTACGTAAATTTTCTATAATAAAGAAATATGAGTCGATGTATTATTGGGCAAATAAAAAGTGGCAATAAATTGATCTGTAAAAAAATCCCTTTAACTTATGTTGGACAGAAAGCTCCTAAAATAAGTGTTTGGAGGAAAATATGCAAATATATTACGATATTTCCTCCAAATGTATGATTTAAATAAGTCTTTATTTATAGTAATAATGGTTAAACTGCATGAAACCCCAAAAGTATGAAAACCGCGCATTTTTTCCCCACAAAAAGGGCTAGGGCGCCTTCCCCAAAACTAGTGAAAAGGCCCTGCAAGCATACACTGTATATTATCATTGGCCTAAACAACATAAAACAAATGCACAACTGGTGTAAGGAGACAGGAAACAAAAGTACAGTTTATATTATCCTTGGCCTAAACAACATAAAACAAATATACATTATAAATTATCCATAGCCTAAGCTTTGATTACTGAAATGTTTGGCAACAATATCAACAAAGCATTTGTACATCATTAAACATCAGCTTCATAATATATTCCTACACCAGGCACTACTTTCAGCTGTCTGCCAGTCAGATTTCTACAGAAATAAATTATCTATTACCTTAGCATAAAGATCTACTAAAACTTAAACTTTCTTTCTTTTTTAAAAAAATAAAATTGAGCCCTGTTTAGATTTTGATGAACAAGCAAAAATAGAAATTAGCACAATGAAAATATCAATAATTACTTCTATATTTCTTTAAATCATCACATTATTAGTCACAAAATTTGTCAGTTTTATGTTATATTATATTTTTTTAAAGATAAGTAAAATTTAATTTATTCCACTTCTTAATAATTCCTTAGGTTCTGAATTAGTATCTTACAGGAAGTGTAGAAATTTGTATACTAACAAACCACTTCAAATATAGCCAGCTATCATACCACAAAATTATCATTTCCGATATGAAATTTGTAAAATATTTCCTGCATGATAATGGTCAAGACACAAATGATTTCATTTTAATTTAAGCTAGGGTGTAGGGTTGAAAATGTTTGTCTTAATTAACCATATTAGACTTCCTTAATTGACTGTAATTTAGCCCTACTCAGTATTATTTATAACACAGCATGTGTGTATTAGTGTAAGAAGTACTGAGACATTTAATTAAATAACTTATCTCAGACTTTGACAACTTTAACTTCACAAATCACAAATTGAATAAACTTTAGTATTTTTATATCAAAATTCCTCATATTCAAGAAGCTTAAATATATAATTATATAATTATGGCAACTGTGCTAAAAATCAATAAACAAAAATTCACATTTTAAAAACAAAAATTCACATTTTTAAACCGTCAAATTCTAACGCACACCTGAGAAATCTTTATAAGAATGGTTCCTAAACCTATAGTGAACAGAGAACGAAATAATATTTTTTATTTTGCCTTATCTCAATTGGCAGACTTTGAAAAAGCCACACAGGCATGTTTTACTGGCAATCTTGTTTAAAATATCTTCTGTATAAATCTGTATGACTAACATGTATAAACATTTTATCTCTGTTTTATGATTATTTACTTTTCCCTACAAAATATTTCACCAGAAACATATCAATGTTGTTTCTACAGATCTGTTTGAAGATATAAACAAAGAAAATTGTGAATTGCTAGGAAATATATACAGCATTTTAGACTTAAGTAACATAGAGCATACCCGATCTCTCCCTTATAAAATAGTTGTTAGAGGTCAAAAATAAATTTAGTATTTCTTAAAGCTTAGACGTGACATCACATTTATGCAATTCTGTTAGAAATTAAACATCATTTTTTCTTTATGTTTTTAAAATAATGTTCACAAATCACAATATTTTTTTTTTACATCTCTAATACTTGTAGTCATATCTTCTTCTTTTTCTTCTACCTATTCATAAATGAATTTCTCATAGTTTGATTTAAATAACCCTGTGCTCCATAATTTGTTATTAGGGTATTTTTTATGAAGTGACAAGTTGATACTTCCAAATTTTTTAAATTACACTGATCTGGACAAAAATTGAGTATGAAAATTGTCAAAGTAGAAATAAACTATAAAAAAATATGCAACAGAGCTATGGAACCATGGTTCCACATCGTCAGATACCCATGACCTAACCATTAACATTTATCAGTTATGTTATGTTACATGTATCAAATGTCTGAGGGTATATGAGGATCTATATGATCTGTACAACTATGTATCAATTACCTCCAATTAATGCTTTTTTAATAAAGTAATTAATTAATTAATATATGTCCCAAATAAACGGGACCGGATTGCCCAAATTACCAATATTAAGTTTGACTGAGATCAGATTCCAGCATAATATCAGGAGGGGTGGGAGACCAGGGGGGGGGCCCCGGGGGGGGGGCATATAAAATTACCTTAATTTATATTTAACTTAATAATGAATCAAGAATCAAAGTGATGATGATGTTGCTTACACTAATGATGTAGTCCAACTAATTAGACTTGTCAAAAAGACACCGAGATAATTTTGGACGGGCGCTGTCTTTTTCCAACGGTTTGACAGTAAGAAAAAAAAAGTCTGTAAAATGGGTTAAACCGTTCACGCCAAATTAATTAGGCTAACTAATGATGGTACTAGACTTTCCTAGAAAAAATGTTGAGGAAAACAAAAATAAAAAAAGATAAAACACAAAGTGGAAACACAAGTGCATCAGAAAAAAAGAATTTTAAAGGGAAATGGCAAATTATTTTTTTCTTAATAAATAAATTTAATTTAGTCATACTATTTTTTTTATAAAAGATAAATTCTGATAACCCACTTTCCAGTAACCTTTTCTATTTAATTTCTTCACAATCCATTCACAGTTTACAGTACTAGGTAAAGGTGTGTCATACTCTCATGAAGATATCAGGGTAATACATCTTGGAATTTAACAGTTTACTTTCCATTTATCACCGACTTGTAGACATAATCAGTGTTTTATAATTGACAGTTTGCAGCCTGGAGTTATGGCAAAAAAAGCTTCTGTATATTTATATGACTCACCCATACGTATCAAATGAGTGAAATTTTGTAAAAATGTGATTTTTCATTTTGTCTGGAACGATCACCTGTGGTCTGCCAAGTGTTCCCAGGTGTGTAGTAATTATTTATTCAAGAGTTAAAAAGTTCAGGGCTTATCAGCACTCTGAGTCACAATAACTTTACAGACAAATTGAAAATGTGTATGAAGATTGCTTGAATAAATTCACAAACACAGAAAAACACTTTTTTTGATTGATTCATACAATTTGCATTATACATTGTAATTAAATGCAAAGATTTGCATACATTAATTAATATATTAATTAATTGATTAATGCTAAAACTTAATTTACTCATATATAAATACATGTATTCAGTAAATAATACACAGTGACAGGTTACTGTAAAAAATTCTCTTGGATTCAGATTTATCACTAACTTGCCAAAACTTTTTCTATACATCAGCAATATCGCTTTTCTTTGTTAATTGGTTTTGTCAATTACTGTTTCCTAACCCAATTATTGTTGCTTTTTCTATAAACATTGTGAACTGTTAGGGTTATATAAATTATCAGAGAGATACATAATTATCATAGAGATAAAGTGACATATACTGATCCTAGTGTGCAAATGTAGAAAGTCATAAAAAGTGGGATTTTTTGCTATTATTCACAGTATTTGATTTTATTTCCTATGTAGAAATAATAAATAACCCATGTGACTCACAGAAATTTCTATAAATATCGTTTGAAATGTATCGGTGGTATTAGAATTTTAAACAAGATTGCATTTGATAAAAATGCTATGCCACCGCATGGTTCAAATTTCATAGCTGTACACCAAAGGACAAGAAAGTAGGTCACATCATCAAAATCTAGGTCACCTGATATCAAAGTTCAATTTTACAACTAAAACTGTGCACATGGTCAAAATGTCATTGCTGTACATCAAAGGACAAGAAAGTAGGTCACTGTCCCCTTGGGCAAGGCATAATTTTGACCCAAGGGTTTAATTCAAAACAATTTTGATACAGGTCCACCAAACAACATTTCAAGTCAAATATCTAAGCTATAGCTTTCTCCCATTCAGAAAACATTTGTTTTATTTTCTGTTTTTACTATGTGTACATAATGAGAATCACTGCCTCCGGGCAGGGCCAATTTTGACACCAGGGGAAAATTTTGAACAACTTTGGTAGAGGACCTATAAATGATATTATATATCAAACATCAAAGCTCTATGCCTTGTACCTTCAGACAAAAATATTTTTTATTTTTTTCACTATATGTACATAATGAAAATCAATGACCCCCGGGGCGGAACCAATTTTGACCCCAGGGCTATAATTTGAACAATCTTGCCAGAGGTTCACTACACAATGTTTCATGCAAAACATCTTAACTCTAGCCTTGTAAATTTAGAGAAGATGATTTTTTTAAGTTTGTACTATATACATATAAGGAAAACCTATGGCCACCAGGGGGCGGGGCTAATTTTGACACAAGAGGCAAAATTTGAATAAATTTTGTAGAGTACCTTCAGATGATATAATTTAACAAATATTAAAGCTCTAAGCCTTGTACCTTCAGACAATAAGATTTATTTATTTTTTACTATATGTATATATTGAA